AACCGGTCTGTATGTGGGATCCGAACCCTCGGGCGGGAGCGCCGCCGCGCTTCCCAAGCGGCGCACTATCCAGTGCGCCACCGGGCCGGCCCTAGATGTCCTTTTCTAATTAGGTGCCTCAGTACTTCGAATATATGGGAACTAGCAATGCATAAAGCATTTTAGTTTAGTTTAATTTTTGAACTCCTGTCTTGGGATTTGCTTTTTTAAAATAACCTCAGTTCTAACAGTCTTTGTTGCTGAATAAATGATTTTATTTTTTTCAATCAGTTGAAAAGTCATTTGGATAACATGGGTAATTAAATTAGGTAATGTTGCCTTCATTAAAAATACCCCAACCGATTATTGAGTAAACTTTTTCAGGCTTATATACTGCCTCTGGAAGTAACTACTTTGAAGAACAGTGGTGGTACAGATTCATAAGTTCAGCATATATTTTTTAATGGGCTACTTTTTAGATTAGCTGCTTTAGTTATTTTTTTTTTTTTTTTTTTTTTAAGTCAAAAGTAGGCAAGAGGGATAAGACTTAGCCATGTTGTGTCTTTTAACGTTTATGTATAGAACAAGATGTTTTTTGTATTATTTCAAGAATATTAAGTAGTGTGAAATAAAATGACCTTTGGAGGTTATATAATTTCTATTAAATTTAATAGTTTGTATTAAAATAGTACTTTCTTTGGGTTTTAATTTATTTTATTGTAGTTGAATTCTTCTAATAAACTTTTTTACTAATATGGTCATAGGTCATAGGCATCAAGAAAGACTGATGAATGTTTCTTTTTTTAAAAAAGTAAGCTACTTAGTCATAAAGCAACCTTTTCTTAAAGAGTTGTCAGTCAAATGACATCATTAGATATCTTGTTTGATTTTATTTCACTTTTAAAAGGAATTGTATTTATTTTTCCTTAGTGCATATTATCCTGTTGATACATTTATTCAAGAACATCTCCTAATTTTAGTCAAATTAATGTGTTTATTTCAGTTAATGGTCAACCAAGACCCCTTGAATCAAGTCAGGTGAAATACCTCCGTCGAGAACTGATAGAACTTCGAAATAAAGTAAATCGTTTATTGGATAGCCTGGAACCACCTGGAGAACCAGGACCTTCCACCAATATTCCTGAAAATGGTAAACCATGAATTCATTTTATTCTGATTTATTCTTATGTCTTTTTGCAGGTCTTTTTTTATTTTTTATTTTTTCTCTCTTTAGTAGAAGTAGGATGGTACACTCTGTCATTCTTTTTCCTGCTTCTGCCTCTGCACTAGTGTTCAAACACATGTTCCCAGACATGGCTGTTCATTCATAAGATTACTGAGAGGTTTCATTCTCCCAATTCCTGGAACTCATCATAAACCTATTGGAGGGTAGGGGCCTGGGAAACCCACTTTTAAAGTGCTCTCTGGGTGATTCTTTTATAGTTAGTCCTGGACTCTTGGGTTTGTGACAGTTTTCAAACCCCTTTGACTCATGAACTCTTTTCAGTGTTACAGATAAGTAATGAACCTTAGGAAGTGAAAATCATTTCATGAGTTTTATGTACAGTGTATGAAGTAATTTTGAGTACAAAATAATTTTGGGTTAGTACATTAAGATGTATACCATGTAAAGTTTATTTTAAACACTTTTAATCATATGCAAAGAAAAATTGATCTTTAAAAATTTACAGATGACATCTATTTATGTTAAGATAAAGCAAGATTTATTGACAGATTTGGAAGTGATATATAGTTTTGGAACCAAATGTATTTTAAAAGTGGACTGAAATTTAAGTGTATGTGATGGGTTGAAAGTAGACTTAAAAAACTGCTTTCCCCAACTTTTGTTTAAGATTCTTAGATGTTGCACTTAAAAAAAGACTTTTTTTTTACAGAATTGTTTTGCTTATAATTTTCAAGTGTTTAAAACTGTTCATATTGTAAAATAGTAATTTTTAAAACAGAGCCTAGATGACTGTACCTTAATAAAAGGTGATTTTTGTGGAAAAGTGGCATGTACAATTATAATCCCTTGAAACTTTTGGATTCTGAAGTATTCTATTTTTGGCCCCTAAATAAAAAGGTTTTCTTTCTTGAATTTAGTTATAGTTAAATAATGATGCATTTTCCATATGCATTTTCCATAATTTCCCTCTTTCTCTCTTCCAGCCATGTGAAATTATGTTAATAGTAGATCCTCAATAAATATTTAGTGATTGATTAGTAATTTCTAGTTCTACCTGTATTTCAGAATATACTGGAGATTTGTTGAAATACTGTGATGAGATCATCTTGGCCACTTTATAATGAAACTTTCTATATTTCAGGTCAAAGCAGATTGCCTGTTCTGAATCTTACTTCTCGAAACAAAAGGCTCCAGTTTTAGATCAAGGATTTGATGAAAACTTTAGACTATTTTCCTAGAATTCCTAGATGCTAACATAACATTTGCGTATAATTTCAGGGGGTTTAACCATGTGTAGAATCTTATGAAACATACATCAAAATACAACAAGTATAGCCAGTACCATGCAGAAATGACCTACAGTGGCTTACATTCTGTTCTAAGAAATAGAATTATAAGCTTTTTGGTTTTGATGAAACCTTTCTCTTTTTATCTGTTTCTTGTAATTATACCTAGTGTTTTTCTTTGTTAGTCCTTTGTTTCCATTATTTTCATACATTCTATTGTTAGCTTCTCACCCAGGTTAATGTAAAAGATGTTAAAACTGTTTTCTTCTATGAATCTTGGAAATTGTGCCACATACTATTTCTTTGTGTGGCCATCTTTTAGTCATTGTGTTCTGTCTGACTTATCTGATGATAAGACAATGTAAGAATAATGCATTCTGTGTTTTATTATTAGAGATGGTTGTAATTTATTTTTTGTTTTCTTGTACTTTGTTTGATAATTTAACCTCTTGGCTGCCTGGCTTCTGTGAAATCTTAAGCTTCAAAGCTCTAAGAACATATCCTGAGTTAATAATTTCCTTCTCAAGAAAAATAAATAAATCAAAAAACCCCACATTAGACACTGAAAATCTGGTCCACAAAACAAAACTGCCAATCAGCTATCAGTACTATTTATAATCTTGAGGCTTATATACACTGAGAAATGTGTGGCTACCTATGGTCTTCAGTGCTCTACCTCTTTAATGGTCCTTAGCCACTTGTTTTCCTCTATGCGGCAAATGATGTGTAAGCTACTTTAGATAGTATATTGACCTGTTACGGTATCTCTGGAAGCTGATGGAGCAGACATATGAGGGTACTTCAAAAAGTTCATGGAGAGATTGGTGTTGTTTTTCAATTCTATTTTTCCACGAATTTTTTGAATTACCCTTGTAGTGTGTTTTCTGATAGACTTAGTTTGCAATAAGTGAAAAGAGGCATGGGTAATGAGAGGTAGTAGTAGTGTGAGGGGGAGTAATTCGTAAGATCGGTGTGTATGCTCTTGGTATGTAACCTTGAGATTAGAGGAAGGAAGTTGGTGAGGAAGATAGGTAACGGGTAGACATATTTTAAAGGATTAATTTAGGAGGTTTTTCCCCAAGAAACTTAGGAAATACTAGGATAATCTGGAATGGCAAGTTAGGAACAAATGAGAACTGCGAGCCTTTGTGTACTGGGGTTACATATATTCCAGTTAGTACTTAACATTTTTTTCCCAAGATAATTTTTGTATTGATCACAGGGGTGGTCTAATAACTGATGTTCACTAACAGAAAAAAATTTATAATCATTATCTGTTAATTGAGTAAATGGTTAGCATCATTCTGTTTACTTGTTTACAAGTTGTTTTGTTTTTAATTTTTCTATTTTGTATCTTGGCCTCAGGTTCCTATTCGCAAACTGTAGGTTTTTCTTGATCCTCCTTTCTTTTACAAGGTAGTAGTATAAATGCCTATTGAATACCTTAGAGTCCTTAGAAGAAAAGTGTGGTTTTAAATTTAACCTCGATATTTAAATTTTTATTTTCCTGTTTTGTTAAAACATTTTATTATGGAAAAACTTAAACATATACAGAAGTAGACATAATATTGTAATGCATCCTGTGAACTCAAATCCAACTTCAGTGGTTATCAACTCATAATATGTCATCTGTACTTTTATACACTTCCACCCCTCTCATATTATTTTGAAACATATCGCAAATACACACCATTTCATCTGTAAGGACTTTAATAAGTATTTTAATGAGTAATAAGTATTTTAAAATAAGAGGTAGCAAATTAAAAGTATGTTTCTAATGTGCTATTTACAGATTAAGCATGAATTCTGATTGGCTTGATTTCCATGTAATTTAGCAGTGGACCAATAGAAATAAAGCATAAAGGTTGAGATCATAACTTCAGATAAGCTTCTTATCCTTTTACAAAATAAAGCATTAATTTAACTATAACTGTTATTTCCTGAGTGCCCAGTATGTATCTGATATTAGGATATAGGTCATGGGACTCCAAAAAAAGTAAAATGTTTCTTTCTGTTAAAGAGCTTGTATATATATGTGTTTTTTAATCTAATAATTCTTAGGGAAGAAGGTAGATAATTTTTTGGAAAAACTGTTACTTATCTTGCATTTCTTTTTGCACATTTTTTCTGATTTTAACAGTAAGTATAAAAATAAGTATGAAGAAGAAAGTAAAATGGTGTATAATCATGTATTCAAAGAGACTTACTGTTAATATTCTAGGCCATACTGATGTGCACATATATTTCTCTATCTTGTATTTTTAGGCCTTATTGAGTATGGGTAAAATGGAAGCAAGTTTTTGTTTATTCCTCTATTCTTCTTGTAGATACTATGGATGGTAGGGAAGAAAAGCCTGCTGCTTCTGAATCTTCGGGAAAACAGTCTACTCAGGTTATGGCAGCAAGTATGTCAGCTTTCGATCCTTTAAAAAACCAAGATGAAATCAATAAAAATGTCATGTCAGCATTTGGCTTAACAGATGATCAGGTTTCAGGTAAGTTCCTCCCTTCCTCCCTTCCTTCATATCCTCCTTCCTCCTTTTCCTCTTTCCTTTTTTCTTCTTTTAATTGAAGAATAACTTGTATATGGTGAAGTGTACAAATCTTAAGAGTTCAGTTCAAAATTTTGTGTTTATACACCTATGTAAAACACTGACTAGATCAAGATGTAGATAATTTCCAGCACCCCAGAAAGCTTTCTTATACCCTCTTCCAGTCAGCACCCTCCCCCCTAAAGAATAACCACAGTTTGGTTCAAATAAATTTTATCGAAAGGAAAATACAGAAAGTTTTTTAAAATCTGAACTGTTTTATTATCTTATATCAGATTTGTTGCAGGATTCAAATTGCATTGGATAGGTCTTATTATCTTTTTTGATCTTAAATTAGACAAATTTAAAATTAAACATAGGTTTCTCGTTGTTTGATTTTTATTTTTTAATTTTTTTATTATTAGCATATTCATCATTACAAATCATAATCTTTCCCCATGCCCTCCACCTGACCTATCATTCCCCAACCTCTCTCCGTTCCTCCTCCCATCACTAGTATCTTTAGGTTTGTTCTCTCCTTCTGAAAGTTCAGTGCACTACTGTGGTTCACTCGTTCACTCTTTCTTTCTTTCATTCTTTCTTTATTACCTTCTTTCTCTTTCCCTTCCTTCCTTCCTTCTTAGCACGCAGTTCTGAGTGAAAACATGCAGTATTTCTCTTTCTGTGTCTGGCTTGTTTCACTTAACATAATTTTCTCCAGGCTCATCCATGTTGCTGCAAATGGCAGAATTTCATTCTTTTCTATGGCTGAGTAGTATTCTGTTGTGTATATATACCACATTTTCCTTATCCAGTTGTCTGTCGATGCACATTTAAGTCAGTTCCATATTTTGACTATTGTAGATAGAGCTGTGATGAACATGGGACTACAGGCAGTATCCCTTCAACACGATGATTTCCATTCTTTTGGGTATATACCCAGAAGTGGGATTGCTGGATCATATGGTAGTTCTATCTGTAGTTGTTTGAGAAACTTCCATACTGTTTTCCATAATGGCTGTGCCAATTTGCAGTCCTACCAACACTGTAGACGAGATCCCCTTTCCCTTCATCCTTGCCAGCATTTGTTATACTCGATCTTTTTAATAATGGCCAGTCTAACCAGATGATATCTCAATCTGGTTTGATTTGCATTTCCCTGATGATTAGTGATGCTGAGCATCTTATCATATACCTGTTGGCCATTTGTATGTCTTCCTTTGAAAAATGTCTATTCAGAATCTCCTTTGCCCATTTTAAAATTTTATTATTATTATTATTTTTGCTGTATAGTTTGAATTCCTTATATATTCTGGATATATTAAATCTCTTGTTGAATGTATAATTTTCTCCCACTGTATAGGTTGTCTTTTTGCTCTGTTGATTGTTTCCTTGGCTGTGCAGAAGCTTTTTAGCTTGATATCATCCCATTTATTTATTTTTTCTTTTGTTGCCTATGCTTTGGGGTCTTATTCAAAAAGTTTTTGCCCAGTCCTACTTTCTGGAGTGTTTGTTTCTCCTATATGTTTTTTTAAGTAATTTTACGAGAAGCTTTTTAGCTTGATATCATCCCATTTATTTATTTTTTCTTTTGTTGCCTATGCTTTGGGGTCTTATTCAAAAAGTTTTTGCCCAGTCCTACTTTCTGGAGTGTTTGTTTCTCCTATATATTTTTTTAAGTAATTTTACGGTTTCAGGTCTTATACTTAAGTCTTTAATCCATTTTGAGTTGATTTTGATATATGGTGAGAGGTACAGGTCCAGTTTCATTCTTCTGCATGTGGATGTCCAGTATTCCCAGAATCATTTATTGAAGAGGCAGTCTTTTCCCCACTGTATATTTTTGTTGCCTTTGTCAAAGAACAGTTGGTTGATTCCTGGATTTTCTATTCTAATTCTAGTTCTGTTTATCTGAGTGTCTGTTTTTATGCCAGTACCATGCTTTTTTTGTTACAATATCTTTGTAATATAATTTGAAGTTGGGTAGTGTTATGCCTCTGGCTTTATCTTTTTTGATCAAGATTTCTCTGGCTGTTCAGGGTCTTTTGTTGTTCCATGTGAATATTAGGATTGCCTTTTCTATTTCTGTGAAGAATGTCATTGGTATTTTGATGGAGATTGCATTGAATCTGTAGATTGCTTTGGGTAGTATGGACATTTTCACAATGTTAATTCTTCTAATCCAAGAGAATGGTATGTCTTTCCACCTTTTTGTGTCCTCTTTAATTTCTTTCAGTAGTGTTTTGTAGTCTCATTATAGACATCATTCATCTCCTTGGTTAAATTGATTCCTAGCTATTTTATTTTTTTGGTGACTATTGTAAATGGGCTAGGTTTCTTGATTTCTTTTTCTGCTAGTTTATTATTGGACTGTAAAAATGCTACTGATTTTGGGGTGTTGATTTTATATCCTGCAACATTACTGAAATTGTTAATCAGCTCTATGAGCTTTTTGGTTGAGTCTATAGGTTTTTCTATATATGTAAGATCATGTTGTCTGCAAACAGGGACAGTTTGACTTCATATTTTCTAATTTGTATGCTCTTTATTTCTCTTGCCTTATTGCTCTGGCTAACACATCCAATACTGTGTTAAATAGGATTGGTGAGAATGGACATCTTCGTCTTGTTCCTGTTTTTAAGAGGAAAGCTTTCAGCTATTCCCCTTTCAGGATGATATTGATGATTAGTTTGTCATATATGGCTTTTATTGTGTTGAGATAATTTCTTTTTGTACCTGATTTGCTGAGAGTCTTTATCATGAAGGGATATTGAATTTTATTGAATGCTTTTTCTGCATCTATTGAGATAACCATATGTTTTTTGTCCTTGACTTTGTTGATGTAGCATATCACATTTATTGACTGCGTATGGTGAACCATCTTTGCATGCCTGGGATGAATCCCACTTGATTGTGGTGTATAATTTTTTTGATGTTTTGCTGTGTTCTGATTGTTAATATTTTGTTGAGGAGTTTTGTGTTTATGTCCATCAACGATATTGACCTGTAATTTTCTTTTTTTGTTGTATCTTTGTCTGGTTTTGATAGCACAGTTTTGCTGGCCTCATAGAATGAGTTTGGGAGAATGTCTTCTGTTTCAATTTATTGGAACAGTTTGAAGAGAAATGGTATTTTTCTTTAAAGGTTTGATAGAGGGCCGAGCCCGTGGCGCACTTCGGATCCTATATAGGGATGACTGGTGCGCTCACAGCGCTCACTGGCTGTGGCTGGTCTCAAAAAAAAGGACAAAATATAAAATAAAATAAAATAAAGGTTTGATAGAATTCAGCTGTAAAGCTATCCAGTCCTGGGCTTTTCTCAACATTGCTGATTATTGCTTCAATCTCATTGCTTGTTATTGGTCTGTTCAAGTTTTCTATTTCTTCTTGGTTCAGTCTTGGTAGTTTGTATGTGTCCAGAAATTTATCCATTTCCTCCAGGTTTTCATATTTGTTGGTGTACAGTTGTTTATAATAATCTCTAATGATTCTTTGTATTTCTGTGTTATCAGTTGTAATCTCTCCCTTTTCATTTCTTTATTTTGTTATTTGGGTCTTCTCTTTTTTTGTTAACCTAGCTAATAATGGTTTGTCTATTTTATGTATCTTCTCAAAAAACCTACTTTTTGTTTCATTGATCTTTTTAATCATTTTTTGGGTCTCTGTTTCATTTAATTCTGATCTGATCTTAATTATTTCTTCTCACCTACTACTTTTAGGATTGGATTGTTGTTTTCCTAGTTCTTTGAGGTGTAGTTCTAGGTCATTTATTTGAAGCCTTTCTATTCTTTTGATGCAAATACTTATTACAATAAACTTCCCTCTTGGTACTTCTTTTGCAGTATACTACAGGTTTTGGTATGATGTATCTTTATTTTCATTAGTTTCAAGAAATTTTTTGATTTGTTATTTAATTTCTTCTTGGACACATAGGTTATTCAGGAGCTTGTTGTTTAGTTTCCATTCACTTGTATTGTTTCCAGAGTTTCACTTGTTAATGATTTACAGTTTCAGTCCATTGTGGTCTGAAAAGATACTTGGAATGATTTCAGTGTTTTAAATTTGCTGATAATTGATTTGTGACATAACATGTGGCACCGCCGAGCTCCCAAGTGGCGCACTCTCCAGTGCGCCACCGGGCCGGCCCATGGGCCTAGCTTTTTAATCCAGTCAGTCAGTCTTTGTCTTTTGAGTGGGGAGTTTAATTAATTTACATTTAGGGTAGTTATTGACAGGTATTGCTTTACTCTTGTCATTTTATTGCTTTTTGTTATGATGATTTAAATATCTTTTGTTCCTTTCTTCCCCTTTTATTTTTCATCTTCAATGTTAGTTGGATTTTTGAGTTGGCATGCCTTAGCTTTTGAGGCTTGCTGGTCATCACTGGGCTGGTTGAGTATTGGGGGTTTGTGGCTGAGACCCTTGGCTCCCACCGCCCTGGCTTGGGAGAGCCTGGGGCACCTCCTGCGGCGGCTCAGTGGTCACTGCTGGGCTGGTTGCTTGTGTTGGGGGGGGATTGTGCATGAGGCCTTCAGCCCCCCACTGACCTACCTCTGGAGAGCCCAGGGCATTTCCTGTGGCAGCTTGGTGGTTGTTGCTGGGATAGTTGCACTTGTCAGAGGGGTGTGGCTAAGGCCCGAGGTGCCCATCCTTTGGACTGGTTGTGGGTGTCGGGGGGCATAGCTGAGGCCCCCAGCCCTCCTCCCTTTCTGGCTTGGTAGGCCAGGGACTTCTGGTCCTTCTAGGTGTTATAAGTGTTCTTTGGTGAAATGAGACCTTTACTAGTGGTCAAACTTTGTCTCTGGTTGTGGGTACTTTGTTTTTTCTTTCAGTTCTGTGCTGGATTATTTTCTGTTCCTGACACTTAAACTCTGTGCTGGAACTAATTTGTTGTTGTTTGCTTACTTTTAAAATGGGAGAACTTCCTGTGGGGACCAGTACGTGAGCTCTTGGTTGAGTTAAATT